TTTTATTTAATTAAAATCTAATTTAAAATTTAAAAATTCATCTTATTATTAAATATTAATATTTAAATTTAAAAACTAATTACATATTTAAATATAGTTAGTTCTAAATATATATTAATATTTAATAAGATAGAGTTTTAAATTTTGAATTAGACTGTTGATTTTTAAATCTAAAAATTAATATTTAATAAAGCAAATTTCTAAATTATAACTTGCTATAAAAAAAATACACATGTTCTTAGCACTTACCCAACAAAATAATTAAAGAAATAAATAAAATAATTCCCTATAGATACTAAAGTTAAACCTTGAAAAATCTTTAAAATAGTAAAGATTGTTATGTTCAAATATTGAAATCAATGGACTGAGAAAAGAAAGAACTCGCTCTCTTGCATATCGCTTTGTAAAAAAGTAGTCACAATTAATCATACACCTAAAGAAAATAATGAAATTTATTCGGTTTTTTTTTTTCATTTTTTATTTTTAATGCTCAATGACCTCAATTTTAGATAATGCTCGTGAAAAGGTTGTAATAATTAGTAAAACGCATGTTGGACTAGTTGATTAATTTTTTTTTTTCTATTGTTTTCGTTCTCTTTCAGTAGTTATCAAAAGATTCAAAACCATGATTCTTTTATAGGTGCTTATTAAAGCAAGAGTTTCATCATCGCTGATTTATGGAAGTGTTTCTTGATTTTGTTAGATTTTCTTGTATACCGTGTGAAACAAATGTAATTTGTATTGTACACATTTTGTGGGTGTTTTATTATTTTTTTTTATTATTTTAGATTGTTATGCAACTTAACTCACCTCATCTCATTTGTATGTTCTATAACTTAAATTTCAAATTTTTTATTTTTATTAAAAAAAATTAATACTAAATTACTTAACTTATTAGGGTACATTATGTATTAAGAAAGTAATTTTACAGTGTAGTTTACACTAACTTATAAAATAATGATCATTTGTACAAGGAGAATCACCTCAAATTCATAAAATCCATCCCTCATAAATAATAATAAAATGTGCTATCTACTCTAGCTACAAACTGCAAATTACTTTTCTATTATGTATTTCACATTTTAAAAAAAATAGTAATAAAGGTTGGACCACACCAAGGGCCTATTTGATATAGCGGTTAAAATTCAATGAACAGCAAATAGTAGATAATGATAGTGGATGGCAAATGGTAGTTAATGGATAGTGGATGGCGGATAGCGGATAGTAAATAATGGATAGTAGATAATGAATTTGATAAATATAATTGTTTAATTATATAATAATTAGCGGCTGTTATTTAATGTTAAATGATTAATAAGGTTATGATTAAAAACAATTAAGAGTATTTTTTTCTAAAT